CTTTATACCATGTTTAGTAAAAATTAGAGTTTTGCATGATAAGACAAAAATCAAACAAATAGAATGACCTAATCCAAGACAATCAAAATGCATGTAAAATGATAACACATTGCACACAAGCACCCTTAGGGTTTCACCCACTTGATTGCCTAAACAAAATGGCCATGGTATGCATGCAAAGTATCTTGGCAAAACAAAACAAAACAAAGCAAAACAAAAGATCATAGTCCCTCGATGATGCTATCAAAAGGTTGCCTAAACAAATGATTTTGGTCCCTCAAAATGCTAAAGATACTTGGCAACATTGCTATCATGGTCATACGATGACCCACGCCCGTCCCGTTTAACATCCAAAGATAGGGTTGTTTACCAAATCAATGGTAAATCAACAATGTCAAAGGAATAAAAATACATAGGAAAGACATTTGAGTAGGGTAGATAGTTCCTAGTTACTTGCTCTCTTCCAAACAATCCTTGCTATTTTCAAAATAATCACACACACATTTTCAAAACATTTCCAAACAACTTTCAAAACATTGAAACATTTTTAAAAAAGACAAACATCTTTGTATACATTCTTACGAACGAGAATCATTACAAAGATTGCTTAAACGATGGCCTCTTTTCAAAATACTTTCAAAATCACACCAAACACAAAGCACCATTTCAAACAATTGCAAAAGCAAAGTAAGTGATCTAAGCAAGTAACTAAGAGCCCATTGAAAACCATGGATGAAAAGGGTGCTAGCACCTTCCCTTTTTATAATCTACCCCCCTAACTCAAGAAAATACCTCAAAGGTCTTTCCTGGGCTTTTTTATCTTTCCTTTTGGATAAAATAAAAGTCGGTGGCGACTCTTGCTAAACCGAAACATTTGCGACGAAATGCAAAAATCTCAAGTCAGTTCTCCCACCGTATCACACCTAGGTTGTGATAAATACACAGTTTCCTCCTCTATAATATAACTCATTGCGTCAGTCTCTATGCAGCAATGTGTGAAATTCGCGATATAACTCATTGCCTCGGTCTCCATGCAACGATGTAGTTATCAAGCTTTTTCAATTATCTATCCCCTAGGTTGCGATAGATATGTGAATAAATTTGCGTTAATCCATTACATCAGCCTCCATGTAGCAATGTGTTTCCTCCTTTGTGATATAACTCATTGCATCAGGCTTCATGCAGCAATGTGCGAAATATGCAATATAACTCATTGTGTCAGTCTCTATGCAGAAATGTGTTTCCTCCTCTGCGATATAGCTCATTATGTCAGGCTCCATGCAACAATGTGTGAAGTCTGCAATATAACTCATTACGTCAGTCTCCATGCAGCAATGTGTAAAATTTGTGATATAACTCATTGCCTCAGACTCCATGCAGTAATGTTTGTTATCAAGCCTTTTCAATTATTCATCCCATAGGTTGCGATGAATAAAAAAAAATCAAATCAAACCAAAACTTACTATATTAGTCTCCAAGCATTAGTAAATCAACTTTTATTTTCAAAACGTATTTTTGTAAATATCTACAAAAAACATATTTTTGTAAATATCCTCGTCATCATGTCTAAATTTTTATCAAAAAACTTTAGTTTAAATGTTGGTAAGATGATACATATTATTTATGCCTGCTCTTCATACCCACAGAAACACTGTACAACGTATCCTTATAATCTCTCGAACAAATTTTGAGTTCTTCCAATATTTAATAAACCTCCGATCAGAACGTGCGAGACCTTTGTATTCTTGCACCATTCAATTGAAATTCAATTAAATAGGGACAACTGTCATACCCCAAATTTGGCCTACTGGTTCCTAACCTTTTTATTTCTATTTCTAAATTTTATTTTTATTCATGGGAGTTTAAAGTTTAAAGAGGGGTTTATCTTATAGAAATTCATGGGCCTTTCTAAATCAGAAAGGGCCCATGTAGAATTTTTTTAGTCCATTTTAAATATTGAAAAGGGGGTGTATAGAGAAATATTTTTTTTGTTAAAGCCCAATAAGCTGAAATGATATGGCCCGATCAACTTTTTGTTTTGTTTTGAGAATTGTTTTGTTTTAAGTATAACAGTATTATTATTATCATTATTGACATTATTATTATTTTGTTATAATTACTTTTATTAATTATTATTATTATACTTTATTATTATTAATATTATTATATTATTATTAACATTATTATTATTGAAATTATATATATATATTATGTTAATTTGAAAATCGTTTGACTAAGAGGCCAAAAACTTGAGGTCCAGTCCAAATCAAGAAGAACACATGGCCCAAAATATCTAAGCATTCATTGAAGGAAAAGAGCATTTATTGTACCAATCAAAAGAAACTCTACGGTACAAATTAATTGAAAAGAAACACACACTTTAAACCATTGTTGTGCAAGTCATTGAAAAAGGGCATGATGATAACGCTTGCTAACACTTACTGTTTGGATCGAAATCAAGATTTTCCATATTCACAGGTTACAAACATAAACAAATTCGATCGCTAAAACATAAATAAGATCAAGACTAATACAAAAACAAATTAAAATTTTATACAAATTTACAGACAGAATCGTTATTCTTTCATAAAATCCCTAATTCCTTAATCAAACAGAATAATGATCATAACTCTATTTCCTAAATCAATTAACCCTATATTACTATAAAAGCCTAAAATCGAAATCAGAGGAGGACAAAAAAAAAGAAAAGGGAGTTTACAGAAAGAAAGAAAGAAGTTTATAGAAGAAAAATTAGTACAGAGGAAAGAAAGAGGGAAGAAAACAATTGGAGAGGGAGATACTTTGGTGCCTTGCCATGTTCTCGTCTGAGATTTGGGTTTCAAAATCCGAAACCCTGAATCTGTTCAGTCGTCATCGCTACTACCTCCATATGCACCCTTCATCACCATACTTGTCAAGCACAAGCAAAAAGAAATCAAAAGGAGAATCACGAGAAAGACACTTGAAGAATAGCCACGACTGGAGGTAAGCACTTAACTTGATTTCTCTTTCGCTCTTATCAATATATTTGCTGTTATGGTTTCAGAATGGGGTGAAGGTTGTGTTGCTGGGATTGGGTTTAGGGTTAGTTTGTTTGTGTTGTGGTGTTAAGCGAATAAGAGAGAGAGAGAAAGAGAGAGAGAGAGAGAGAGAGAGAGAGAGAGAGAGAGAGAGAGAGAGAGAGAGAGAGAGAGAGAGAGAGAGAGAGAGAGAGAGAGAGAGAGAGAGAGAGAGAGAGAGAGAGAGAGAGAGAGAGAGATAACACTGTCACGAGTTAGGGACAAAAAAGGGTTAGGGTTTTAGTTTGTGAGAAGAGAGGAGAAAGTTTTAATTTTGTGAGAAGAGAGAAGATGGTTAGAGCGAAGAGAGAGAAGAAGAGAAGCAAAGTAAAATATGTTTAACTAAAAACAAATTATATTATGTGTAGAAATCTGGTATACCACGCGTTACCGTGCACTCTCAGCCTCAACCACTCGATCACCATCAGACAGTCAAAAAACACATGTCTACTGCATTATCATATGTCCATCCATACAGAGTCCAAACGGACTCCCAAACCTTTGGGCCAAGCCCAACTATCTGCCCCCCTTTCAAATTTTGTTTTACTAATACGTGTAATTTCTCACCCCCTAATGCCAATGGGCCAAGTCCAAAATCTAGACTTGGACCCATAATCCCTGCACCCCCCAGTTTTATTGTCTAGTTCTAAAGCATACCCTCTGCATTGGGTCTGAATTCAACATCTGAATTCAGGGCCCATGCTATTAACACCTCCCTATTTTACTACCTTAACCAAATTTACACCCCCTGCTTTTTTATAATTTATTTTCTTTATTAATTCATTTTATTATTTTTATATTTTCTATTTTTATATATTTATTATTATAAATTAAATATATTATTTTCCAACCCACAAAAATATTATTTATTTTATTTGCATTAAATTATCTTTTAATCGTGCATTTTAAATAAGTTATTTTTTACAATTAATACTTAAAAAATATCCAACCAAACACCAAATCATTTTCGTAAATAAATTAATTCAACAATTAACTTTCGAAAAGGAGTACGAAGCATATTTTAATTAACTGCACACTTGGTCTAAAATCTTCGCTATTTTCACACTCAGACTAAGTACAAGGGGAATTCGAAATATCTTTGTAATCCATAAAAAACACCAACTAAACTGCGAACTACGAATTAGGACTCTGATTCCTCATAAGAGGATACATAGGCATACGACTAAAATCATGGTGAATTCCCTTAATAAAACATTAAAATCCTATTCTCTAAAAGTTGTGCTTCTAACCCTAGTATCCTTGTGAACAAGGTAGATGAGGGGTTTCTAACACCTTCCCTTCGTCTAGAACCGAGTCAAAAATCTAGACTCTCCAACTTTTAGGGTTATCCTTTATATTCCCTTCCCAAAGATAAAAATTAAAGGTGACGACTATTATTTCAAAACCAGTTACAACAGTTTGTTCGGTTCAGTTTGACATATTAGTTTTAACTCGGTGCATATTCAATCAATAATTTTGATATCGTCAACGCTGCAGACTCGGAGACATGGATATTCCGAGTATTTCAATTTTATCATATTTTTAGGCTTTGTCACATTTGTAGGCGTTTGTGAGTTTGTTCGCAAATTCATCCTTTTCAGTTTATAGTGATTTTGAATTTGTATTATTCGATGTATTCTGTCAATTTGAATGAATTAATATCGTTTTTAGTCTAAAAAAAGTTTAGATTTTATTATTAAGAAAACAAAAATTTTTTTTGCATTTTTATTTTTATTTCATTTACAAAATCCATAAAAAAATTTATATATTAGTTTTATAATAGAATTATTTTAGGTTTTATTGTTCATTTACTATTTAGCTTTTTTAATTTTATAAATATCAAAATATCTTAATGAGGGTCCTTTTGGGTCATTTACCTAAACCTAATGGGATAAGGTTTTTTTTTTTGGTTATAAGAGAGGAAGAGGAAGATATAACTGAAAGGAAGCTGCGCTAGAGATTAAGAGAAAAAACGCAAAAGCGCTCCATCGACCCTTCATTTGTTCAATCACCATCATCTTCCGCGGCCTTTCTCCTTTTCGTCTACCATCATCATCAAACTCCCTCACCATCACGTTTTCCTCTTCTCAACAAACCCACCGCTTCCTTCATTCTGCTATCATACGAACCGTGACTCCGCTATAATTCTGCTCGTAGCACTGTCGTCTTATCTCGCTATTTCCACAAGCTGCATCCCAGTTGTTGACCGAGCCACCTATCACAACAACCCTCATTTCCCCAAGTTTGGTAAGCTTCATACTCTTTGATCTATTTTCAATTAATATTTCTGAAATGCGACTGAATTTGAGTTAATTTCTGGACTGATATTTGTGTTGAATAAATGATGAAATTGGGTTTGTTGGTATTGGATGAGCAGATGTGAAACTAATTGGAGTTATTGGCAATTGTTGAAATAATGGAGATGTTTGTTGTTGCTTTGAATTCAGTTATTGATTTCTGTTGATGTTATGTTTTTGTTTGTGATAAATTAGCAAGGTTATTAAAGCATTGTGATGAAGTTCGTTTGCGATACCATGCTTAGTCGTGTTACATTTGAGTGAACCTTGGATTTTGGTATTTGATTCGATTTTGTAGTGATAAAGTTGTAATAAACTTTGTCAATGTTGTCATTGGGTTCAATTTTGAATGATAAATTTGTGATGAGAATACTTGTATCGGCCTTAATGTTGATTGAGTTTAAAATTTTGTGTCTTGTTGTTTGAGACAATTTGAAGGAATTTTCGCGATGTTTTGGATGCAATTTGAGTTGAATTTGAATGAGATTACATTTTGTTGTAGCATCGTTGTGTATTCCATTCGTGTTAACACGTTTGTGATGAATTATATTGTGCGATAATAGTTTAGGAAGTTATGCCCAGATTTTGGTTTAAGAGTTTAAAGCTTACTTTAAATTCGATTTTGGTTTAAGGGTTTAAAGCTTACTTTAAATTCGACTTTTCATGTTGCAACACGAATTCTCGCTCTTGTTTCATTGTGGATTGAGATCAAGATTTGGAGTTTCTAGAGCCTAAGCTGACACGGGCCATGTCACAGGACACGAGCACCCGTGTCATCGCCTGTGATGATCTTTTTCACCCTTTTCGTTCAGCTGAATTGACACGGGTCGTGTCGTGTGACACGGGCGCCTGTGTCACCCTCTGTCTGGTGTTTTAACTCTTTTGTTCTCCTCTTATTCTGACATGACCCATGTCATGTGACACGGGTGGTCGTGTCAGGACTCCTGCAACTTTCATATTTCCTTCCATTTACACAAATTTTCCGAGATCTTTACCTGCACCTGAGATTACCAATAACTACCAAACCAAGTCATCAAACGCATCTAGAAGACATAAAATTAAAATAAAAACCATATAACGATAACTTTGCAAAAAATAAAATAACTTAACAGAACGATAAAAAGACAAACCAGAGTGTTACAGATTTGATGAATTTGCACTAAATAAGTGACTAAAACAAAGTAGAAATGGTGATCGATCACAACCCCAAACTTAGCTCATTGCTTGCCCTCAAGTAATGTAGGAGACAATCAACAAAGTCGCCCCGGAATTCCTTCTTAACACAATATAACTGATGTTATTCACAACTTGCTTTCCACCTTCTCTGTCAAGATTCTGGTTCACCAATTTGAACTATCCGCTACACCTCCACATTAGAATACTTCTTTAAATGTAAGCTTTTTCACATTTCTCACCAAAACTCTCAGGGTTAAAGTCTTTGGATTATAATGAGATTTGGGTATGGTGGGATAAATAAAGAAAACATATACACAAAGGGTTTTTGGCTCGACATTCGTGTTGTCTTTCTTGTCTCTGTGCTCAATTTATTTCAATGGAATTTTACTCAACCTCGATTATTTTGCTTCACTCAATTTTTGCTTTGAGTGTTTCATGGTTACCTGAGTCTTTTGCTCGGGCAAGTTCTTCTTTATAAGTTTTTTTTTCCCGAGACATTCATGTGTCTCCATTCTTTTTCTATTTTTTTAATAGTTTTTTACTTTCCCTCTTTTATATAGATGACAACCCCAAACTTAGAACTTTGCACAATTTCAAAATTCATAACACTTATGCCGAGCAAGGGTATGAAGTGTTTGGTCTTGGGTTAACATATGTGGTTATTACAAACAAAATGATACAATTCAAATGTGGTTAATAAAGGATAAATATAACATTAAAGGATGGCTAGAAAGGCTCAGAGGTAAAATAAACAACGTGCCTCAGTGTATATTATCATGTTGTGTTGTTCTAGTAGAACACACGCAAAATCAGAGTGATAAAGTCATACCTGAATGAACTCTCATTATGATATTTTTGTGTTTGGTTATATGTATGCTCACTATTTAGGGTAAGCTTACATGTTCCAAAGTGTAATGCGACTTCTTTTTCGGTTCGGGTATATAACAATTGTTGTAGAGGTAGACAAGAAACTTAAAGCTTATCATTTGTCGCTTGAAAAAGAAGCCGCATTACACGAGGAGTGCTTTGGAACCTGTAAGCTTACCCTACATGTTGAGCGTGCATAAAGCCAACCACAAGAATATAATAATGAGAGTTTATTCAGGTATGACTTTATCAAACTCTGATTTTGCGTGTGTTCTACTAGAACAGCACAACCTGATAACACACACTAAGGCACGTTGTTTGTTTTACCCCTGAGCCTTTCTAGCTATCCTGTATTGTTATGTTTATCCTTTGTTAACCATATTTGAGCCGTATCCATTTGTTTGTAATAACCACATATGTTAACACCATTTGAGCTGCATCCATTTCTTTAACTAGAGGCAATCGTCAGTGTGATATCCTTGGAGTCGGTGTTAGTTACACCAAGCCCCGACATCATTCCCCAGTACGGCATTGACCCTCCGGTTAGGGGGTGCTTCGGGGATCAGGTTCAAGTGCGCCACCTCTTGCAGGATTCGGCCTCTCCTCGTGTTTAAGGGAATTTTTGTGTCATCTAAATTAAAAGGGCTCCGGTTGGACCTCTCAGTCGTGCGTTCCCGGGGCTTGTCTCTTGAGTTTTCCCGATAAGACTCATGTTTCTTTCCCAGTCTCTATTCTTTGGTCTTGTTCCTTTCCGGAGCATCTCTGGATCGTTTTTCCAGATTACTCTCCTCGCCCTTTATGTAGCAGCCTGCCCTAGTGATGATTTCATTCATGTTGGAAGCATGCTTCTAGGCTAAGAACTCATTGAACTGCCCTTCTCAGAGGTTGTGTTGGAACACTCCCACAAACAACTTTTGGTTTGGGTGAGACACTTTGATGGTCTCCTCATTAAATCGAGCTAGGTATTCTCGGAGAGATTTTGTCTGACCTTGTCGAACACTGACCATGGATGTCGTGGACATCTTGCGATGTTTATTAGCAGATAAATGTTAGATTGGTTTCTTTGTTAGGTCCATGTAGCTTTCCACAGATAATCGTGGTAAGCTCATGTACCATCGCATGTCCAAGTCCTTGAAGGTGCAGGCCATCGATTTACATTTCAATGAATTGGTAAAGTCGATTATCACCATTTGGTTGTTGATGGTGATAACATGCTCTTGAGGGTCAATCTTGTCGTCATATGTTGTCAATGATGGGGATTTGAAGTTCTTTGGGACTTGGTAGTCCCAGATAACTTGTGATATAGGATGAGGCTCCAAAAGCTCCTCTTTCGAATTGTCATCCCCCACGCTTCTTTGTTGTAGGTATGTAATGTTATCCTATTGAGTTTTGTTCGGCTGCCTGAGGGCCTCCACCATGGCAAGTAGTTGCTTCATGTCTGGAGGATCTTCAGGTGATGACATTCGGCAGAGGGTAAGTTGAGATGTGGCATAATGTTGTACCCAAAAATTTTCCCTCTCATTTCTCAAAGGATCATCATGGACCTTCAGGTTTGCTTCAATCCAATTTCAAGCCTTGAATTACAAATTTTCCAGGAAAGTCATTCACAAGGGCAAAATGGTCATTTGCACATTGAAAAGCCAAACTTTGACTTTTAGATCAAAATCAAGTTTCAAGAATCATATTTAATCAAGACATGTTGAAATATGAAGTTTGTTTCATCAAGAAATTCAAAAATCAAAGTTACTTTGGAAAAGTTAAATTTCTAAATACTTAGAATTTTTCAAAGTGTTTGAGAAATATGACAAGCTCAGAACTTCTGATCAGATTATCACCATGATGCAAACTGATTTTGGAAGAACTTCTGACACAAAAGTTATAGATTTCAATTAGATCTAAAACATTGCAGAACAAAACTTCTTTTAGAAATGTTGGGATTTCAAGTTATACATCCTCAAAGACACGTCTCTGAAGCTTAGGCATTTAACAAATTCTGAGCATTTTTAAGTCAGTAGTTGTCTACAACTTCTGGGCCAGTTTTCACGTAGGTTCGGTCAGAAGTTGCAAGAGTAATTCAAAGAAAGCCTATCAAGCGTGTCACAAGATTTCTGGAAAGTCTGAGAACTCGCTCAGAACATGCTGGAGCAAAGGAATTCAGGGATCAGAAGTTGGATGTTTGTTCTAAGTTGTGCTGATGCTGAACTTCTGACCCAGAATTAAACTATGATGCACAACCTCATAGCTCAGGATTTCTGGTTTGATAAATTTCATCATCATTTAATGCTCACAACCACTTTTGAGTTTTTATCCAAAAGATTTCCCCACGTGTGAGATAGAAGTACCATTGTTGTCCTTGAAAAACAAACTTTTGTACAAGGTTATGTTGGGGCCATGCTTTGCTTTTGCCTCTGAGGGTACTTTTTCTTAATTTATGCTTACAAATCCATCATTAGGCGCGGCTAAAAGCTGCTAACTACCATACTTTCTTCAAGAACAAGGCAGCACCCTAGCATATGAAGGCTATGTTCAACGCTTCGGTCATAACATCACCAAATCCCAAAACCTCGTTTAAACAACCTATTGCACTGCTACAGCACAGTCCTATAACCAACAGCCTAATTCAGTCCACGCCTGCATTTTCCAAAATCCCATATTTGCACCAAACCAGCATACGAAAATTGTGTTTAAAAAGAAATGGAACAGTATGCCAAAAGGGTTTTTTAAATCCCATTTGTTTTTCCCCCCAAAACCACAACAAACCCGTTTATAAATAAGTTGCTTCATCACACGTTCAAATGGCTGGCTTTTGGAGACAGAGAATTGTCAAAAGAGAGAAAAGAAAATTGTGAAACCTTCGTAAAAATCCAGAATTCCCAAACAGAAAATCAAACATTTGTTCTTCCCTTTGAGTCAAAGAACTTGGCATTTTCTCTTTTGTTGCTTTTGCAAACTCCAGAACATCTGAAGGCAGCAGTTCAAGTTCCAAGCACACGCTCCAGATTCAAGGTAAGTCTTTCTGACTTTGTATCTTTTCATTCAGAACATCATTAAATATGTAAATATCATAGTATTGATGATGTCCATATCATTGCATAAGTAGAAAAACTGTGGATCAGAACTTCTTGATTAAGGCTATGCTTAAAATTAGGATTAGAATTTATATAAATTGTTGTGCATTTATCCTTTTGATTTGATGTTTGTTAAGAATTGAGTAAATTGCTGATGTGCTGATTAATATGAGGAAAGAGTTGAAATGTGGCACAAAACTTCTAATTTTCACTCACGGTTTTAGCACAACACAGAACTTCTGAGTTCTCCTCACTGTTTTAACATACAAAACTTCTATGATTTTCTCACTGTTTAAACACATTGAACTTCTGATGTTCACTCATTGTCTTAGCACATACTGAACTTCTGAGTTCTCTTCACTGTTTTAATACACATAACTTCTAGAGGATAATGAAACTGTCATGCTTACTGCTGAATGTAGTGCAATTATTCAAGACACAATGCCTCCTAAACT